TGGCTTATACTGTTATCACCTGTGACAATAATAAAAGACTAGGCTTATACTTCACAGTATATGTAATAATATAAGTTGCTGCTTTAGAAGACATCTTTAAATTTTATTTTAATTCTGATATAGGCAAACAGCCACAACAAAAACTAAATCAACATTTACCTTTTAAATACTATGTGTTTTCTTCAGAAACACCACAAAATCTCTCAAAAAGTTTCACATTATTCCTTTCAAATTTTTGTAAAAAGTTACCTCAACTGTTCTTTATGGCCAGCTTAGGTTCACCGTAAACTTCAAATAGTAAAGATACAACAATACACATACAGATTTACTGGGTCTAGGTATACTCAAAGCAACTTTAACACATCCAGTATGTTTTCTGAATAAGCCCACATTACAAGCTCTTTAAGAGATCAGAGATTAAAACCTATAATTGATCATGCATTTCAGAAATTAGAGGTTCTTGGTCATTTTCATTTCTTCAGAATTTTATAGAAAAGTCAATTTTATAATTTCAAAGAAAAAAATAACAAAAGAAGGGAAAACCTAACTGTTTTATTTAGGGATAAAAAAACAGAGCAAATGAACAAACTTTGGACAAGATTAACTTGAATTTACTGAATAAACAAAGACTGAAAGACAAAACTGTAGAGAGGATGATGAAGCTACAGAATTATTGGTGTGAGAGGTGAAGGGAAAATTAGATGTCACTAGCCAGTATCCTACTGAGTTTGAAATGGTCATCAGAGGAAATACTGCCATGACCTTACATATACATATACATTAAAAGTATCACAGGTCATCCTAACAAGAACATACTATTGCACAGAGTTTAAAGTGGTATCTCATCAATTCAAGGTTAAAACAAATTTTAAAAGGGAAAGGTTAACAAATTCACATGAACATAATGAAGAATTGGACAGAACTTATTTCTCATGACATTTAACATATATTCAAACAGTGATGATACTGTGCAAAATGCATTATCTACCCCAGTAGACTACACTTTCTGGAAGATAAAAACCGTATCTCATTCACCCCAACCTCCACAGTGTCCTACAGATTGCCACCATGCCTAAACAGGAACACCAGCTTTCCCACCTCCTTGTCAGCCTATGAAGGAACAAAATAAAACAGAAAACAGCCCTCCTGTAAGCCATGAGAAAAAAAAAATCCCCATCCCATACTATATAGTCAGTAAGCATCTGCAAGTCAGGGCAGAATTCTGTAAGGCCTAAGAACAGTGGCTTTCAAACTTCTTTGACCACAACTCATAGCAAGAAATATATTTTATATCCCATACTCTATACATACACATATATATGTAACTAAAACAAAAAATTTTGTGCAACTATACTTACTTAACCTTACCAAGTATAATGTGCTTTTATTTTCCATTTTCCTTTTTTTAAAAATTGTTGGTCACAATCCCCTCAATTTTGTTACCCCATCAATAGCTTACAATCTGTAGTCTGAATACTACCACTCTAAGGCAGTGGTTTTCAAAGTATACATGTACCCCTGGGGGTATGCAAAGATTTTCCAGGGAATTCACAGGCACAAGTTGCTTTAAAGGAATCCACTTCTAGATCCTCAAATCTAATATTCTTTCCTAAAACAGAGAATTGTTTAAATGTAAATCCTCCTTGCCCACCACCCTTAACATTTTTCTCTAACTTAACAAAAGGCTTTTTACTCATCCTGAATTTTACTATGGTTCACTGCCCTATTGTATTAAAAACTCTTCTGTGGTATCAAACCAGAGAAACAATTTAAATTACTAATGTCAGTAATAAAAAAGTGAATGATTAATAACCCAGCAACACATCTTTTGCCAGGTGAAGTGGCTGCAAAGTCTGCTTTCAATAAAATTGAAGGAAGACCTAACTGAGTTGCCAGCCAATAGAATAAAAATATTTTTGAAGCTAGAACACTTTGTGATTTAACATATAATTCAGAAAGCTAAATGAATAAAATAATTGCTATTTTTAAACTTCTATATCTACCTACTTATTTATGAGCCCAAAGGTTCTCAGCATTTATATCTATTTAAAACAAACAAAAATCTGAATCTTACATTTTTCTAGAAATAGATAATATTCACCCAGAGGTTAACGACTTAATTGGGAGGAAGACCCAATATATCTCATAAGACCTGCATTTCCAATAATTTTTACATCTCAAACTTTTTTATTTTTTTTTGTTGTTTTTAATCCTCATAGAGGATATTTTTTCCATTGCTTTTCAAAGAGAATAGAAGGGAGAGAAAGAGAAACATCGATTGGCAGCTCCCCCTGCATGTGCCCCGACAAAGGCCAGGGATCGAGCCAGCAACCAAAAAACATGCCCTTGGCTGGAATCGAACCCAAGACCCCCTCAGTCCACAGGCTGACACTCTAACCACTGAGCCAAACCGGCTACAATTAAACTTTGTGGTTTTTTTTTGGTTTTTTATATATCTTTATTGATTTCAGAAAGAGGAAAGGAGAGGGAGAGAGAGAGATAGAAACATCAATGATGACAGTCACGGACTGGCTGCCTCCTGCAGGCCCCTGACCGGGGATCCAGCCCGTAACCCGGGCATATGCCCTGACCAGGAATCGAACTCTGATCGCTTGATCCTAGGTCAACACTCAACCACTGAGCCATGCCCGGCAGGGCTAAACTTTGTTTTTAATTGCTTTTTTTAGAGAGGGAAGAAAGGGGAGGGTGGGGAGGGGGGAGAGGGAGGGAGAGAGCGAGCGCACATGGGTACGCGCACAAGCAAGAAAGAAAGGAATATAGATCAGGGTTGCCTTCACATGTGCCCTGATAGGGAATCAACCCTGAGACATTCCAGTGCACCCGATGACACTTCAACCAAGCCACAACAGCCAGGGCTATCTTTCACATTTTAATAATTATTTTTTAAATGTGTAAAATATTTATAGTATGATCAACTGTGTACTTTTAATAACTAATAACTCAATACAGAAGAAATTTACATACATATTTTTCTTACAGAGAAGTCTGGTCAAATTTTTTTATTTTTAATTTAACTTATTGGTTTTAGAGAGAGGAAGGGAGAGAGAGAAATATCAATTTGTTGTTCTACTTATTTAGGTATTTATTGGTTTATTCTTGTATGTGCCCTGCCTGGGAACTGAACTCGTAACCTTGTTGTATTGGGATGACCCTCTAATCACTGAGCTACCCAGACAGGGCTGATCAATTTTTAATGGCTTTTTAGAATAAAATACTACTTTAGGCCAATGGTTCTCAAAGTGTGGTCCCTGAATCAACATCAGCATCACCTGATAACTTGTTAGAAATGCCAATTCCAAGATCCTAAAGATCTAGTTAATCAGAAACTCTGGGGAATGGGGCCCTATGATCTTTGTTCTATAACAAAGTCTACAGGTAAAATTCTGTTGCACACTCCAGTTTGTGATCTAAAAAAAAACTTTTTCAGAATATACTAAGGGAGGTGTAAAAAGAAAATGCAAAGTTTCTACTAAAGAGCATATTCATATATGTTTTTCCTTAAACGGATGGTGATGGTATTAAATCACTACGATCAATTCCACTGGATATGTTTAAATGCATGAAGTTTCCATTTAAATTGTCAATATTGGTAACGTAATAGAACTTCCATCCTTTACATTTTTAAAATTTAAAATAAATTTAAAAGTTGAATGATCACTAGTCTAGTGGTTCTCAAACTGTGGTTCTTGGATTAGCAATACTGCAGTCACCTATGAGTTTACTAGAAATGCAAATTCTCAGGCCCCACACCAACATAACATACATGTTCTAACAAGCTCTCCAGGTGATTTTTATCCATGTCAATGTTTGAAAGTCACTGGTCAAGAGGGCTGTGAAAAACATATCCATATTTCCCTAGGTCGGTACCTAAAATGTAAGCCCTTTTCCTTACCCTTCAGATTAGGTCCCTCATGATACGATCTCCTGTATCCGCCTGTTTTTAAAGAACTCACACAATCACTTAATATCTATTTTCCTCACTAGGGTTCAAGTTCTATGAGTTAAAGAACCATGTGACTCTTGCTCCTTCTGGACACAATGTCTGCCTCATAGTAGGTATTAAACAAATATTTATTAATAAAAAACTGAACATTTGTTAGATAAATTCCATGAACTATCAGTTTTACTATAACATAGCTAGGGCTATTATTAGAATGTCAACAGTCCTGATTTGTCTGGGGCTATCTCTCAAGTGTTCAGAGCACTGAAAGTCCTGTGTCCCAGAACTGTAGTCCACTATACATATCATAATTAAGGTTAAAAAACAAGGAAAAATCTGAATAATGATTTTTCAACTTGTCTTTTTGTTTGTTTGTTTTTTCCTTGTTCAAAATATTAACAGATGTCCCCTTTTCTCCCCATTGACCCCTTCCACCCCGCACCCACCCCCCTCTCCAGTCCCTCATCACACCATTGTCTGTGTCCTTGGGTTATGTGTATATGCATATAAATTATTTGGTTAATCTCTCCCCACCCACCCACCTTCCCTCTGAGATTCATCAGTCTGATCCATGCTTCCATGTCATTGAATCTATTTTGTTCATCAGTTTATTAAGTTCTTTAGATTCCACATATAAGATCATGTGATATTTGTCTTTCTCTGCCCGGCTTACTCCACTTAGCATAATATTCTCCAGGTCCATCCATACTGTTGCTAAGGTACAAGATCCTTCTTCTTTACAGCTGCATAGTATTCCATGGTGTAAATGTCCCACAGCTTTTTTATCCACTCATCTACTGAAAGGCACTTAGGCTGTTTCCAGGTCTTAGAACAACACAATTTACAATAGCTAAGAACTGGAAACAGCTCAACTTGTTTTTTTAATTCCATTCTTAACCCTTACTTTTAAATAGGCTTTTATTATACAATGTAAGCACAAATAAAATCAAGATTTTTTCAATGACAACATTGTACTACCAAAAAACCTGACATTTTAAGGAAGTTTTAGTATGGGGGTTAGGGGAAGACATCAACTTACCCTCTTTAGCCAAATATAACTCTTTAAATTTTGCTCTCTTTTGATTAAATTCTTGTTCAAGCTGCTGCTGTGCACGTAAAAATTCTGCATTAATTTTTTCCAATTCTGCTACCCGTTGCTGAAGAGAAACTGGAAAAAAAAGATAGTAGTTAACATGTAATAACTTTCATTTTTTTAACTGTTACAGGAATAAATTAGTATTCTAACTGCACATTTCTATAATAAAACAAGTAGTCAGGCTTCTTGCAAAGATCCAATACATTCTAGGAAGTCCTAATTTAAAAAAATAATAATAATAAGACACTTCTATTAGACTTAATACACAAAAAGTGAATGAATCATGTAAAGTGAAATAGCCTACATATGAAGAATCACATATGGCAAATTTCCCAAAATAGTCCCTTTGTATAATTGACCGAATGTCGGTCCACTTCTGGAATTGTTAAATATTACATTATTTGGGCTAGGAGTATTTGAGATCTTGCTCCCCAGCATGTATCATCAGTCTGGCTCAAATAAACTCTTATAAAAATTCAAAAATAAATAAATAAATTGGGCTATTTATCCCACAAATGAACCCATTGCCAATCTTGCTACCTCCTGTTTCTCTCAAGTGTCAGGTTCCCTGACTAGAGTAGCCATACCAGCCTGAAGCACTCTTCCAATTTCAAGATGATTCATTACCATTATATTGACATCATAATCAAAAACTCATATAGAAAGGATACAGAACTGCATATTCTGTATGAACTCTCAATTACTGGGAGATTATCTGGTTTTTAGATTAATGCTGATTGTGGTGTGGCAGAGATTGAGATACATTTTTTACTTGAGGGGCCCTACAATTTGGCCACAACTGATCAAATGCCTACCCAAACCAAACCCAGAGGCTCTTGTGGTTCAAGCAAGGGATGGGAAATCCAAGAGTCCAGCCCCTGACCTCCTCCTTTGCCTGGACAGCAACCCAGCCACAAAGCTATGACCCTAATCCCTCCAGGGGATACCTATCAGTTCTAACACCACTGCCTAAATTACGTAGGCCAGCAGAGATCCCACAAGCCACCCTAGATAATGATTATTTGCCTATAATTTTTTTTTTTTTTTTTAATTCTCATCCGAGGATATTTTTTCCATTGCTTTTCAGAGAGAATGGAAGGGAGAGAGGGGCAGAGAGAGAAACATCGATGTGAAAAAGACACATCGATTGATTGCCTCCCGCGCATGCCCCAACCAGGGCCAGCGATCAAGTCTGCGACCAAGGTACGTGTCCTTGGGTGGAATCGAACCCGAGACCCTTCAGTCCACAGGCTGATGCTCTAACCACTGAGTAAAACTGGCTAGGGTGCCTATAATTTTAACCATGATCTGAGATTATCTCTGAAGATCCTCCCCTCCCTCAACCCATTACTAAATTTAATTGAGAGCTCATTTTATAGTATATTAAAAAAAGACTGGAAAATGCATCAAGGATTTATCTATTAGTATTAGAATGTGGTCATTAATATCTTCCATGAGTTTTTCAAAGTTCTCTACAACTCCTCTGATAATAAATAATGAACTAAAACCAATACTAGTTCATTCCCATGACATCTTCAGACTAAGTTCACTACAGATTTAACAGTATTGATAAAAGTCATGGCAGAAAAGGTAAATGATTGTGGCTTTGAGTTCCATGCTATTAAAGGTAAGGAGTCATTTTGTGGAGCAAATATTAGGGTCTTTAAGTCAAAGCAAAGAATGACATCTGGTCATTTGAATATCTGATAACCTTTGAAGAAAGAGAGGAATGGAGAATCCACTAGAGTGGGGAAATGTGCAGTTATCTACCATGAAGAAAACTTGTTCTCTATGCTATTTATTTCTCTTGTATTTTTAATGTCTACCTCCAATTGTTAAATAAATTAAACAGGTTTTCCACTTAACACTTTAATATTACAGGTAGCTATTAATTACTGCATAAGGTAGAGAAGGGCTCTACTACTTCCACCAAAACACACACACAAAATACCCACACCTTTCAACATAATATTTATAAACTGAGGCTAATGTAGTCAATAAAAACTAAAATTCAGCCTTTAAAATTGAAGCTAAGATTAAGTGTGTTTTCACTACTCCCAACCCTGTCCTGGCTCTGACGCACAGTTTAGGCAAAGTACACACCCAGAGGTCTGGCTGCCTCTCTCCAGGCTTCAGGACAGTTTTCAATTCTAGTAATCATAGATCCCTTTGAGGATATAGTAAGTAACTCCCTTATTCTCTTTTTTTTTTAAGTAAAAAATTTTTAATTTACTTCAAGTACTTCTAACAATTCCACCACATAGAAAAAGGCCAAAACAACAGCTTTTTACAAGAATGCCTCTACTGCTATATCTAGAAAAATCAATTCACCTTGCATAAGACAGCAGGGAAGCTTACAAATAAGCATATCCTAATGCATTAGCAATCAACTACAAATCAAACTGAAAATAGCTCTCATCACACAAAATGCTGTATTATTTTTCTAACATGGTGACTAGTAAGTAAGTAGTTCATAATAACTAGCTAATAGCTTATGTAAAAAGTTCTTAGCCTGGCATATAGAAAAAATTTGTTAGCTATAACTATTAAATTAGTGATATTTAATGAATAAAGGAAAAAGGTAGAGTGATCAAGTGACTTTGTATATAGCCTCAAAAGACCAGAAGTTATTTCCAACCTCATGATTCTGACTCAGTTCCATGCTTACACTTCCAGCTCATACCCTTCCCTATTACTATGTATCTTCAAAGCACCATGGACAAATTAATTAGTGTTAATGTTAACCTTCAACAATATTAAGCTTTCTATAACTTAGCAGCTGAGAGCTATCAGTATACCAGTCTTCCTTAACCATTCCACAATTTCTTAAATTGTTACCCTTTATTTGAGCAATAAGAAAAAGGAGAAAACTATCTTATACAGTGGCTACTTTTAATGCTTTTGCAAAGGGAAAAATTAATAATAAGATGGTAATACATATATATTTCTCAACAACTGAATTTAAAAAACAGCCCTAGCCAGTTTGGCTCAGCGGTTAGAGCATCAGCCCATGGACTGAAGGGTCCTGGGTTCAATTTTGGCCAAGGGCATGTACCTTGGTTGCAGGCTCGATCCCTGGCCCCAGTCAGGGAGCATGCAGGAGGCAACCAGTCAATGTGTCTCTCTCACATCGATGTTTCTCTCTCCCCCCCTCTCTCTCTCTCTCACCCTTCCACTCTCTTTGAAAAGCAATGGAAAAATATCCTCAGGTGAGGACTAAAAAAGATAAAAACAAAATAAACAAGCAGAACAGAAAAAGACTCATAGAACATTTTGATGGCTGCCAGATGGGAGAGGGGTTCAAGTATGACAGAAAAAGGTGAAGGGTATAAGAAGTACAAATTGGGCCCTGGATGGTGTGGCTCAGTGTTGGACAGTGCACCAAACTGTCTCGGGTTCAATTCCCAGTCAAAGGCACATACCTGGGTTGCAGGTTCGATCCCGGGCCCCAGTTGGGACAAGTGGGGGAGGCAACCAATCAATGTGTCTCTTTCACATCAATGTTTCTTTCTCTTTCTCTCTCTCTCCATCCCTCCCCTCCCCCTTCCACTCTCTCTAAAAAAATCAATGGAAAAAATATCCTCAGGTGAGAATTAACAATAAAAGTAAAATTGGTAGTTACAGAATATTCATGGGGATGTAAAGTACAACATAGGGAATATAGTCAATAATATTGTAATAACTATGTATGGTGTCAGATGGGTACTAGATTTATCAGGCTGATCACTTAATAAGTTATATAATGTCTAATCACTAGGTTGTACACCTGAAACTAATATAATATTGTATGTCAACTGTAGTTGAAAAATAAAAATCATTTAAATTTTTTTAAAAGTCTGAATTAAGCAACAACACAGAAAGAAGAGAAAAAGAAAACAATAATACGGTAAATAAATTAAGTATTCAAAAATTCTTAGAGTTACCTCTTTCCCTAATTCTGATATGAATGGGAGAATATATAATAACTTTAAAATATTTTTAAGCCCCAAGCTTTATCCTACTACTACATTCTTCTAACACTGTACTAAATTTGATGAAATAAGCAATGGGACAAGGGGAAAAAAGCAGTTTACATCAAATATCACAAGAATCTTTTTGTTTAAAGATGTTCAATTTCCAAACACACACACAAAGAAAATACAATGGAAAATATAACTAGTGTAACAAAAGAATCTGAACAGCTCCTGAGACTCAGAAGTCTTGATGTGTATCATTGGGTTTTAAAAATAACACTTTTAAGTATGGTAGGTACACCCATCCATTGGAATAATATCAAGCCAGAAAAATTATATTAACTAAAAAAAAAAAAGATACAAAATTATATGCAATACAACAGGAACTATTCAAAAAACACACAGAAAAAGACTAGAAAGAATATGACGAATTACACTGAGTGGCTGCCTCTCTGAATCAAGGGGTAATTAAAAGAATAAATTACACTGATTGAATTTAACTTAAATGTAACGAAGTGCTTCATTTTTTTAGTTATAATGATTATAATGTTATCTTCTTGCCCCATCTCAATAGTTGTGCTCATAAAAAGTGCACATAATTTACTTCAGTGGTCTTAAAATATTTTAAAATACTAAACAGTCATTTTAAAAATTATACTTATATTTTCCCAGGACTAGCAATTTGCTAAAATAGATTAATTTTCTTAAAAACATAATTTCTTCAGTTTCAGAAATGACCTTCCAGCTAGCCTTCTTTTGGTGCTCTAAAAACCCATGTCCAGCTTCTTTTAGGAGTTACTAAAAATGATTATTATTTACAGTATATCTACACCCTGAATTGTGACTTGTTTAGTCTAATATTTAAATAAACCCACAATTACTTAGACAGAAGAAGCGGAGAGGAGAAAGTAGAGTGGATGGAGCTGGCAGGAATTACTAATCTAGAGAATGCCCACCACAGACAAGCTGTAACCCACAGGCAAGTAATTGGATCACCATTCAGTCGCCTTATAGTATTGTAACAAATACATATGGCATTTGGGAAGCACTTTTTCCATAACACAAAAGATAATCAAATCCTTCAGTACAACAGAAAGTTGTCATTTCACTTTACATATA